CTAATCTCTTCCCAGCCAAAATTTGACTGCGGCAATGTGGAGCACTGGATCAAGGTGATGTAGTTTTCACAGTAATTCACCCCAAAGTAAGACAGCCTGCATGTAACTCGTGGTTAAGAGGTAAAGCTTGCTKGTGAGCAGTGCTGCAGGTCGCCTGCCACGTGAGACACTTCCCCCAAAGCACCTTCTCCCRGATCTGTAATCACCTAAAATCAAGGATAAAGAATTTGGTGGTGAACTTCCCTGTGTCCTAGGGTAGGAGTGTGCCTGCCTCCACACCCAGCCTCCTAGCTCCCCCTCTCACCAAGGGGAGTTCTGCTTAAGTATGGCAGCTCTAATTTGGTACTATTTGCCAAATGGATGCTTATTGCATAMACATTTCTAAGTCAAATTTCACTCAACAGCATCTAGTTAAAAAGAGCAATAGCTAAAATGTATTTCCAAAGAATGATACGCTTTTAGGTTAAGTTCTCTCTGATGTTTGGTTTCTCTTGAGGAGGAACATGAATATAGGAGGTTGGAAGATAAATATATATCACCCCTTAAAAATATTTTCCTTTCTTTAAAGAGAGTGGAGCGGGCTTCTGAATATGCAGCCTCTGAAGCTTTTTCCATTCAAAACCCAAGTTACCTACAAAGGCTTTGTGGTCCGGTGATAAAGCTGGAACGTGTGGAGCAGCTGCAAGATCATGAGGAGGCCTGTGAGGAAGGTGAGCATAAAAACTGCCACAAGGAGCTTGAAGGAACCCTTCTTGATCCATCTTTATGGTTCTGGTCTGATCAGACTATTACAAAGCTTCCCACTAAAAGAAACTGTTTTTAGTAAGATAGACGGAACCTTCCCCTAAAACAGAATAGAAACAGGCATAAGAAGAATCAATTGCTGGAGTTCAAGGTTGACTTTAATTAGGTTACTAAAGAGAAGGATGAACTCTGTCTCCTGGAGATTTCAACTCAAGAGAAGGATAAAAACTGAGGATAAGTTTAAGGTCAAATACAAGTTACTAGGCTACAGTAACCTGGATGAAATAGTGTGATATAGTTTTGACAGAAGGTCAGAGATAGGACCTTCTGCAGAGATAAAACTAAAACTGCAGAGATAGGACCTCCCATGAATGCATATCTAGTGCAAAAAAAAAAAGTGAAAAAGTAGGATTTTCAAAAATATATATTTTTAATACTGAAAAGTGATTCTTACAGAAGAGATGATGTCACCTAAGAATATCCATCCAAATACATGTGTCAGCTTTTCTGCCTACACTCGTTACCTGCTTGCCCTGTGCTGTCTGAATGCATTACACGTTGTGTAATGCAAGCAGTTAGCTCTCTGTCACTGGCAGAAGTTCCCTGCTTTCCTCTTGTGTTTCTTTATTATTTCTTCTGCCCTTCAGTGCTAGCATTTCTCTTTTAGAGTGTCAGTCCCTCAGCATTGTTTTGGCAGTGTTTTTGGCAAAGAATTTATACCCAGCTTGTTTGTCAGGCATTTGAGAATAGCAAATGTACCATAGGTGCAGTCCTGTACTTACACCCCTAATTTTGTCACTACATAAGCTTGCAACTTGACTAACTTTGCTTTAGACTTGTTGGTCTCCACTGAAGCGGTTGTATTGCAAACATTGAACCGTGATGTGCAGCAACCATTTGTCCAAATAGTGATTCTTGTTATATTTAACATATGGCAAACTTGGCCGTACATGTGGAAAACATCTAAGGGTCTGTGAGTACAGAGGGCAAACATTTGGAAGGTATCTGAGTTACGGATTACCTCATGTGTATTCCATCTCCTTGATAAATGTTGTTAGTCACACCAGTGCTCTTAATGTCTAGAGAATGTCATAGGAAAGTTGTGTGAAGCAGACTTCATTTTTCCTATGCAACATGGAAGAAGTTTGCCATTTTCTCTTCCTGTTGTTATTTCCCATTGTTATTTTAATAGATCGAGAAGATGAAAACAGAATTGTTAGTCCTATTCAGTTTTCTGCTGCAGATCATGCTTCCATCATTTTAGACAGTCTTCTCAGTACGTTGCCTCGCTGTCCTAGAGATGAAGTCTTGCTAGTTTAAACTTACCCATATATTTTTAAAGCAAAATCATCACTCTTTTTCTTCATGGTAGCTCGAGAGCTGCTGAGTAACTGGATAAAATCCAAACTGCAAGGGGAGCTGAGCGATGAAGAGGAAGTTGGATCTGTCCTCCCAGAGGCGCCTTCCGTGGCCCTTCTCAAGTACCAGCAATTTGATGGTGAGAGCACAGCCAGGCRCCTCGCGGCTCATGCTGGGGGAGGGAGCCTGGCTCATGACTGAGGTATGAGCTGCTCGGTACCCAGGGCAGTGCACTCAAGGTTAGAGATGAAGATTTCTTTTCTTCCCAGCTTTTTTCTTTCATCAGTTTGCTGTAGGGCTGCATGAACATACCTCATAAACGTTTGATGTCTCTCAGTGTATAAGAGATTTTGTTTCCTTTGCTCTTGAGGATTTGTGAAGCCTGTCAAATTTATGCAGCAGTTTGAGATGCTCAGAAGCAAAGTGATGGAAATGGGCAAAACATTGTTACTGCTCCAGCGTGTTCAATGGGAGCCTGATTAAGAGTCTTTTGAGAGTAAATGGAATGCAGTCAATATGTCCACTTTCATCAGAAGCACATTCACAGTCTTGAAAAGTGATCCCTCTAATCATGTTAGGCTTTGTGATCTGCAGGAGAGGGCTCTATTCATTTCAGACTAGCTTGAGGAGATCTGCATTCCTCATTTCAGACTTGTGCAGCTATCTGGAACAGCAACTGGAAAGTTCCTCTGTCCAAGAGTACCTGCAGCAACTTATGCAGAGTAAAGTGGTAGACTGTGGGATAGTGGAAGACCTGAGAATTGAAGACATCAAGGAAAAACATAAACCAGCAGATCCACGACTAACCATGGAGCTCCGACACCAGCAGGTGTGTAGACAAGCGAGCACAATGAAAAGGAATAAAATGGTGAATTACAGGATTAGAGGCTGTACTCAGTGATAGGTCCCTCAGCGTTCTTGGCCAGCCTACAGTGATCCCTGACTCAGAGGCTAATAAGCAAGGATACTCCTTGGAGATTTAGCAGAAATGTGCCTTGTTTCCACACATGTGTAAGCCATTCGCAACAGCTTGTGCTGTCAACTTTCATCACATCTATTCACATTTCCCTCCTTTCTGGAGACAGACAGGAAAAGCCACTGCAGCCCTCRCTTCTGAGAGGTAGGTTCAGCTCAGGTAATGCTGGGTTAATCCAACTCTGTTGGAGTTTTCTGCTAGTCTGAGAGCAGAATCAGTCCAGTCAGTGCTACCTAGATAGAGTTGCCTTCCGCATGGGAAAGGTGGATTGTTACCCACCCTGATAGCTTAAAATGAACCTCAAATACTTCCRCCTTTGGAGGCTGCGTTAACTGTTGCTGATTTCTTGCTTCTCAGGTGAAAGAAAATCGACTGAAGTATCAGAGGGCGTTAGAGCTTCAGAGACAAGAACAGGCCCTTAAAAAATCTGTCCTGTTTGAGGCCAAGAAGCGAGCACAGGAGGAAGACAGGAGGAAGGCCCTAAGGGCTAAGAAGGAAGAGGCTGCCATCCAGAGGGAGATGGTGAAGCTGCGGAAGGAAATGGCTGAGAAGAGGCACACCATGGCAGAAGCACGGCGAATGTAAGAGGGAGAGGGCAGCATGGAATTGCACATGGGAAAAACTTCTCTTACCAGTTTCTCTGGCTAAATGCAAGAACAGGGCGGGTCACAAAGGAAATCTGTTCCTGTGTCACCAAATCTTCCATGTCACTACCAAAATCTTCCATTCCTTTGTTACTAACTTTAATGGCAGAATTCATGATTAGTAGGAGTTGGGTTATTGCTGTTAGGTTCCACAGCCATGACCAGTATGCAAACTGATTTACAAAGCAGTGTCTACCCTGCTGCACACTCGGTTCCTCAACTCTTACCAGTTTCT